ATAATTTATATTATGATAATGTGGTAATTGTAAAATGCAATGAAAACTATATTATTAGGCAATGAGAATATAAAACATAAAAATATATACTTGAAAATAATATTTATGATAAATACGATCATTATGAAAAGTAATTAAACTATTTTTATATGCCATTAATACTACAATGTTGTCATATTAATAGTGTTCAAGATTAATATTTATATTATTGACTTGTATATACGTATATATACAAATAGTATTTATAAAAATAATAGCAATGCTTATAACATATAAATTATTGAGAAATGTTTTATAAAATATTAATATATTATGAGCCCATCGTATAAACTACTGTTCCTTTCGCTACCCCAACCTCAATAGATTACGATTTGTGGGTTGATATCCATAACTACCCGTCCATCACATTTGACATAAATTGAGATTTTAATTGAAATAAAATGTGTGTTTTTTATTGATTTGTGTCAATACTTGTTAAGTTTATTTTGACCATAAATTGAGTTATCATTTAGTAATACATGTGTTGAGCCTTTTGTATACAATGAGATTTTGAGCAGGTATATTTAAGTTAATATTACTTTGATATTTCAATAACTTTTAAGAATGTGATGGCAATGAAGCTTAATATCTGTAATGAAATGCAATTATTTTTGTTAATTAAATATTAATATAATTTTATGTTTGGAAACCAATTGAAGGCATACTTCGTAACCACGGAATCGATTGATGAGAAACAGTCGCCAACAGTAAAAGCCAACCCTTTTCTCACCCAACCTTTCAATCAATGATTGCAACTATATTTGCAAATTAAAAATAATTTTAGTATAAATTAATAAATTATTTTTTTTAAATATACTTACTTTGAATTTAATAATAATATTGTTAAACAAAGGTTTTCTTTTATATGTAACAAAATATGAATTTAATATATTATATGCTATCATAGTTTGTTTATACAGATTAGATGAGTAGTGTATAATAAATAACAAGGTTATCATAAACTCTTGAAACAAAATAAAACTTATTATCCTTGGTAATAATAGGATATCTGTAAAACAGGCAGTATATAATAAAAATGTTATAATAAATGTAATTAATATCCAATAAATGCCCAAAAATATTGACCAATAATTGCCATTATATTCATTGATTTCCACATAAATATCATTTAGTTTACGCATTATATTCATTAAATGTATGACATGTTTACCTTTATTATTATTAAAATAAAATTCACGATTAATTGTTTTTAATTTCAATATTAGATAATATACTATAATAACATAATACACTAATTGCCACACAATAATCCTGTTCATATAATTGCATACCAGTGCCCAAAATAGACTATGAGGTATACAATATAATATAATTTTATCCATTGATAAATGTAATGACATTAATGACATGGACAGCATGAATACCCCGGGTATTGTAATTTTGTCGATAAATTCTGTGATTTTAATGCATTTTTGTAAAAATGTAAGTAATTTATAGACAATATGTTTATCATGAATACCAATACTAATGGGTGTTATTAAACCCGAAAGCATCCAAAATACACACAAATCCCGCGGTTTTATACCTCGACTATAGTTATAGTAATTGAGTAGTTGTGATGAAACCGCTATAATTGAAGTAATGATAACTGCCCCTGATGATTGTAATCGTATACCGGTAAAATAATTGACATCTCCAACAATTGTATAAATCTCTAGACTTTGTTCAGGAATTACAACTAATATTAATTGTCGTAAGATTGTTAAAACTAGTGCTGAAAACACGAGAATCGGGCTATAAATGAGTGAACGGTTTGTGGCATTCAATAGCTTATAGAGTGAGAGACCAATACTGTAGAGATGGGTACCGGCCCTCCCGATCGCCAATGATCCTGGTAATACTTTATCACAATTTAATTTCATCATTTAATATGAATTTAACTTATTAATATTTTTAATATTTAAGTAATCTATTGTAAACCTATTATAATGTTGATTTTTATCTGACTTTCTAGTTAAAAAAATATCTTGTGATTATAAAATGATCATAAATATGATCATTAAAATGTCAAATAAATAATATATATTATTAATGATCGTGGATATTTATTTGGATAAATATAATATAAAATTAAAAAGTCATAGGTAATGATTGTTTAATGTTTATTATGTGATTACATTTCCAATAATTATAAATTTATACGTTTTACTAATTTTATGATTAAAATAAATAAATATATGTATATATAAATTTATATATCATAATGTCAATTATTATAATTGTAATTTAAATTTTAAATTATTTGTAAGCTGATACATTGTTTACAGTTTAAACAGACAATATTTAAATACAACTATTTTATTATTTCATATTTCTAATGTTATTTCTTTATTTTTACATTAAATCAGATAAAATAAATAAACATGACATTTTATTTATTACATGTTATTTTTGTTAAATAAGACTTGTTTAATGAAACCAGATAGAAAAAATATCATAATATAATGTTAATAAATTTTTGTATTTTTATTTACTTTTATAATGAAATAATAACTTTTGAATAATATTTTTACTGTAGTATAAGAATAAATATTTAATTTTCTAATTTTTATTGCGTTAAAATTTAATACCAATATTGCATCAGAATAATTTTTATAAATCCAGTTAAATGAAATTCAGATGCCCATGTTAAATTTTATGAAACAAACAATATTACTAACAACTTGTAGATATAATATAATAACTATAAATGTAGCAAGTAATATTGAGAAATTTAATATTACAAAACCATTAAAACAATACAATTATCATTGTAAAAAAATTAAAAATCCCCTTTACAGTATTTTGAAACCCGGACTTTTTGAAATTATCATGATATTTTAAAATATTTATTTAATAATAACAAACAATTAAGCTATAAATTCAGTTCAAAACTGGCTTCAAAATACAATTTTAAGTTATAATTAGCATATTTTGTCAAACATTTTGTTAAACTAGTAAAAAATAATTCCTAAAAATATTTTATAAAATTGTAACACTTGAAGGTATGAGAAATGTTTAATTTTTATTTAATTTAGCCATCACACTTTGTGGCTAAAGTTTAATTTTAAATAAATTATCAAGTACATTATATGTTAAATCATTTCTCATTACATTCAAATTTTAAAATGCTGAAATACTGTTTATAATTATATTGAAACCTGGACTTATTAAAATTGCCATGATATTCTTAATATTTATTTTTAAAAATAATAAAACAATTTTGCAATTTCGAGAAAAAAGTTATGTTGATATTGCAGCAGGATGATTATTTATAAATCCGGTTAAATGTGATTCAGATGACAATGTTAAATTTTGTTAAACAAACAGTGACAAATACATTATTGTGGCTATAAATGCAGCATTCACAAACTAGCATTTAATATTTAACAAGTTAATACTATATAAACATTTAAAACATTATTATTGATTAAATAAAATTAACTGTTATATTTAATAAATTTAAAATGTGGTGCATGTACGTTATTTTATCAGTTTCATTTTATAGCTACACTTTGGCACAGACTACCGGGTCCACCGCAAATGGCACGTTAACTCAATGCCCTAATGTAACCGGAATGCCCTCGGCAAATTGGACTTCAGTAATTTAAATCAAACATAATTTGTTTCAAACTACTCTAGCTAACATTTAAATTATTTTTCAGTTACACGGACTATGGTACGAATTGGCAATCGCCCCAAATAATACAAATACCGCGATCAAATGTCCGTACATGCAACTGATGCCAACGGCATATAACAATAAAATTGATTTCAAGTACAGTACCTTATGTACAAGGTAAGCAAAGCTAAAATTATCATGGTAAACAGTGTGACCAACCGTCCTCTATTGGAGAGGACAGTCCTCTAGTTTTGTATTTGTCCTCGGTATTTTAAGAGAAAAATAGTGGACAGTGAATTTCCTTTATTAGTGAAAATTATAAAATGCCTTATTTAGAAAAATAATTGCAACATAACACTACAACGTAAACTGCATTTCACATTATAATTGTTATAAAATACACTATAATTTAACTAAATTATATGTAAGTGCAGCAAATTTATAGGAAAATAAGTAATAAAAACTAATGACAAAACTAGTCAATTCCACTATAAAATACGATGTCCACTATTTGCCCTCTATTTATTCAATTGATCGTGTGCATGCATAAAAGGGTTATCTATTTTTTCAATTCAAACTATATACATAACATAATCATTGCATTTATAGTATCTAATATTGTTTATTACTTTAAGAAATGCAATGATTATGTTTTGTATACAGTTTGAATTGAAAAATAGATAGCCCTTTTAAGCACCCAGTGGATCAATTATTGTATCAAAATGTCCACTAATTACGAAACGCTGATGGTAACACTGTTTGAAATTTTATTTTAAAACTTGATTTGTTTGAAAGCACCCAACAACCCTTGACAACAAGTTTTCCCAACTCCACCATAACCCAGTCACCAGCCATGTTTAGTTTGGTATATTTTGTGCCCGGTAATAATGTTAGTAAGTTAGAAAATTTATAAAAATTTTAAGTTTGTCAAATTTTTCAATATAAATTTATTAATAAATTAGACGGTGACGTACTAATATTGGATACTGATTATCAAACCTACATGCTGACTTATTCATGCTTATTGATGAATGATAATACCGTACTGGGTAAGTGTGCCAAGGTACATATTATATGACAAAATATTTATAATGTTTGTACAATGTAAATTAGAAAACGCCATGCTATATGGTCGGAATGCAACTATTAATTCAATTAGTTCCACGGCAATTTCGAGTATCCAGCAACAGGTATCAAACATACCAGGGTTATCTGGCAATGGTTATCATCTGTTTCCGCAAAATTGCTTGTATTAATCAAATTAATCAAATAAAAATTAAATATAATCAATGTTATGTTTAAGACAATATTATTAAATTACTGTATATTTTACCTCAATTATATTTAATAGATTCTTTTATTATTTTATTTAATGAATATAAAAATTTATATATTGAGAATTATTATTATTATGTAATTGATCAAATTAGTAGTTATTTTGATTTTTGTTTGTCGCACAGATAATGATAAAGTTTTAAAAAATAAGATTATTTACTATACTTTTGAGATTATTTGCGAAACTAAAGTAATTTATAATAACAGCATCATTTAAAATGTCTAATAAATAAAGCCAATTAACGATATAAACATTATTTAACTAGTTGGTTTTACTCACGGCAAACATCAAATCAATTCATCCCACGATGCATGCCATCAGCCAATGAGTGATCGCCACCACTGCCACCGACACTATCATCCAATGGATCAGTTGGTGTGCCCACACATACCCACACGTGACTTATAGTGACAATAAGACCTCAACAGCAGATACCGGCGCAGTCTGTCCACCGATTGGCCGCCATTTTGTTCGCCAATTGTCTCGCACTCAGTGGTGATCCGATGGCTGAGACCGCGGATGGCTTTGGCGTACAATCCGTTTGGCGATCAACTCATCCATGGATTGCTTGTCGACGACATCACCGGTGGATGTGATGTCTTGGGATCCGTTATGGCCTCCAATAGGTTAGCCATTAGTGGTACGAGTGGTTGTGTGGGCCAGTGGTGAGTGACTTCCGGAGGGATCAGTTGCGGTGACAATAGGTTTGCAATGCATTTGTTGTCAACACTATATCACTGTATGTGTGGAAAACTGCACTCATTCACAAATACAGTGACGCTATATATGTCGGGGCAGTGTCTGCGCGTTGAGTGTGTTATTCAATACGATTCGCAAATGGGTCTCAAAATATACGCATTAATTGTCACTGTATTTGCGTATAACTCGCGCATTGATAGCCAAAACACTTCAATACGGGACCCAAACGGCGACCCAAACGCCTCCCATCGACAACCACTACACACTACAGACCCCCGCTATGATCGCCCTCTGGATTATTAGTACAAATTAAATTTCATGCGGCAAATGCTTAACAATGGGAATGCGCAGGGTGAAAAGGGCATTTAGCACTATATTACAAATGTCTACCCCACCAAAATGCACAAGTACCTTTAGATTGGGATTTGCCTTTTACGTTCCATAGACCTAATGGTGCACTAATGCTATCAGTATAGGCAGAGTGAACGCATTGCGCGCATAGACTGTACGCTCACTTTTGGAGGCTATAGATGGCAACCAGTGCTCCATAAGTGCGATAAATATGTGAATTTAATTATTTTGAAATAAATGTGCGAATAATATACAGTATAGTATGTGTATGTACAGTACAACCTCGTTTAAAGTTATTTGAGCTAGGTGCTCATTGAAATAAATGAAACTAGCTTTTATTAAAAACATACAATTATATCAATTGTATTAAATTGTAAATTATCAACAGGGCACATATTAGTTTATATAAATTTCAAAAATATTAAATATTTATAACTTTAAAAAAAATTTAAACACAGTTAAGCGTTAATTAACACCTTTAATGTTCACATTTTGCACACCATTTGTATCGATAGTTACTTTTAAAAATTAAAATATCATTACCAAGTAGTTTTATATTTGTACATTTTAATTAAAATTAAATTTATTCATGTATTCATTTTAATCATATTAGTGTAATGTAGAGTTTAGGCCTAAATTCACAGGGGTATGGGTTTCAGTAATTGAGTAGTTGTGATGAAACCGCTATAATTGAAGTAAAGATAACTGCCCCTGATGATTGTAATCTTATACCGGTAAAATAATTGACATATCCAACAATTGTATAAAACTCTAGACTTTGTTCAGAAATTATAACTAATATTAATTGTCGTAAAATTGTTAAAACTAGTGCCGAAAACACGAGAATCGGGCTATAAATGAGTGAACGGTTTGTGGCATTCAATGGCTTATAGAGTGAGAGACCTATACTGTAGAGATGGGTACCGGCTCTCGCAATCACCAATGTCCCTGGTAATACTTCATCACATTTTATTTTCATCATTTAATATATATTTAGTTTATTAACATAAACGTAATATTTTTTATATTCAATAATAATTATTATTAAATATTTTAAGTAATCTATAGAAAACCATTATAATGTTGATTTTTATTTGACTTACTAGTTAATAAAAATATCTTGTGATTATAAAATGATCATACCTATGATCATTAAAATGTCAAATAAATAATATATAATATTAATGATCGTGATATTTGTTTGGATAAATACATAATAAAATTACACCATCGTGGTTTATGATTGTTTAATGTTAAACACCATGTCAAGGTATTGATCAATGTTAATATAATTTGGTGAAATTAACAAAATATTTATAATGTTTGTAC